CACTTGAGATGGTCCTTCATCAACTCTTGTTCATTGTGATTCCTGCAAGATGGATCAGGTAAGGCTTAAGTTGTTTAAAGAACACAAAATACAGCTACAAAAAAAAAAGCTTACTTGTGTAGCTTGTTGCCTTGGTGGTGCAGTGGGGCACTTTCTCCGTGTATGTTCACTTGATTCACAATGGGTGCATCGCCCTTGCACACCTCGCCTTGATGCCTTAAATTGATTTCTTGGACCTTCTGAATGGTCCCTTCTTCTAGCATGTTTGGGCCTCCCCATGGGCTTCCTAATACTGTGAGGAGGCAACACAGATCCCTCCTGTTGAAGGTCCCAAAATTTGGTACCTTGCACAGGGTTTAACAAGCTCTCATAAGCATTTATGTAAGCTTCAATTTTGTACCAATGAGCAACAAAATCTTCTGGATTCTTTCTCATGAACAATATTGCACTAATGGCATGAGGACATGGAATTCCAGTCAAGTCACAAACCCTACAAGAACAGGTATTTTCACCCAAGTTAACCTTATGGCCAATCCCTCTGTGATGTATCTCAAATCCACTGTAGTCATTTGTTCCCGACCAACGTGTTTGACAGTACAATTGTTCTTGATATCCCTCTTTGATTTTCTTACTTATTCTAGGGGCAATCCCACCCACAAATTGCATAATCAACTTCCTTTTTATCTGCATCCTATCCATCATGGTAAGTCTAATGTCTTCTAGCATAGAAATTATTGGCTTGTATCTTGCAAGAAGGATGAATGAGTTGAAGGTTTCGGACATATTATTGTCAACACTGTCACATTGACTATGACATTTAAAATGGGACTTACAGAAGGTGTGAGGATCCCTTGCCATGAAGTCGTCATATGCCCTTTGAGAGTAATCCTTGAGTTTGACAGCCTCTCTTGCAAAATCCTCCATGGAGGTAGCCTTCACACAATACCAAAATTGTTTTTGAAGAGTTCTTCTAGTATGTGTTTTTCTCCAATTGGAATAAATGTGTCTTGCACATTGCCTATGCTCCACTTGGGGCCAAACCTCATGTATAGCTGGAACTAAACCCTGGTTAAACAAAAAAACATGCCCAGATATGTAAACATGTAGCCCAAATAGAGATTAAATTGAATATGACATGAAATTGATCCTTACCTTTTGTTGGTCTGAAATTACTGTCCATCCCTCTCCCTCTCCCATGTTGAGATCATTGGATAAGATTCTCATAAACCATTCCCAAGAGCTCATTGTTTCACCCTCCACAATAGCCCACGCAATTGGCCACATCTGATTATTGCCGTCTCTCCCCACGATACTTAGCAATTACCCACCACATGCATGTTTAAGAAAACACTCATCAAGTCCAAATATAGGTCTACAATTGTTGGCGAACCCCCTTTTCATGGCTGAGAACACAAGAATGAATTCAGTATGGCCTAAAAAACCTGCACATACAAGCTTTGATAAAAATTCAAAATTTTCTAACAAACACTTGAACTTTACCTGCAAAGCACACATAGAATCTTTGAAAGACTCCTGATTCTGATGAGTCACTTTGATCTGTGACCTTCAGAATGCATGTACTTCCAACATTACTCCTTAAGAGCTCTCTCATCTATGGCTTTAACAAGCCATATTGCTTCTTAAACAAACCATCTACTGCATTCAAAGCCCTACTCTTTGCCCTCCTACATTTTCTTAAATCCACTATGATCTCATATTGTTTTTGCATTTCTGCTTTCATATCTTTGGGCTTGAACTTAGGATCCCTCAAAAAATTATCAATAAATTTTCCTGCAAGCCAACCTTCAGTGATTAGCCTATTCTTGAATGTCCTGCTACAAGTATGAAAAGGGTGCATACTATTGATTTTCCAAGCACTAGCATCATCACGACATGGTGTAGCATTTAGCTGCCAATGACAGAGTGCACAATTCACATTAAACTGCCTCTTATCATTTTTTTTCATAAACAATGTCATAGTGTTCTTGTATGGAGTAATTCAATATTGCTTCTTTTAATATTTTCCTAGATTTGAACTTCAATCCTACTGTTAATTTAACATTTTTCATGTCAACTTCTTCATTAAAAAAAGGATATTTGACCTTTGCTGCTTTTTTTAGAAAACTTTGGACAAGAGTTTCATCCTCATCACTTGTCATTATGGGACCTTCATCACCACTTGATCTAGGATCTAATTCATATCCACTGTCATAATTTGTAAAAAAATCTAGCCATGACTGTTGTTGTGATCCAGCTCTTGAATGCACTCCTTCATGGGGTGATGTTGGTACATTAGCATTAACCACTCGATGGGGTCTGACAGTGTTAAATTGAATGGAGTTACCTGCATCAACACCATCTCCCAGTACTGCACCAGAGTTTAAAGCAATGTTGCCCATCTCTTGACTTAGAATCTCCTTATTGCATTGCCTAATCTCATTCAATTCCTCGTCTTCACTACATATAGCAGCTTGAAAGGAATCGTCATTGTGGGCACCGTGAACCTCATTCACTACCTCCCTATCTTCCTGGCCTGGTTCAGGCATACTCTCATTGCCCTTCACATTCACTACCTTCCTAGGTTCATTATTTGGTTCACACACACTCTCATTGCCCTTCACATTCACTGCCTCACTAGGTTCATTATTTGGTTCAGGCACACTCTCATTGCCCTCCACATTCACTGTAGGCAGTTTCATCCTCTTTCTTTTGCACATTCTTCTTTTTTTTCCTTGCTATTATTGATAAACTCATCAAATAGTTCATCTTCATCAAAGTCATCATCTACAAATGCCTCCCTAGGATCCATTCTGTAATTCTCATCCTCCACAGAGTCGTCACTATCACTAGATGGACTTGACTGTTGTTGTGCACTACACGGATCATCTAAAGAGGCTGAAATTAATGCTTCTTGTTGTGGCAGGGTTTCACTAGAGGTTGACAGCTTGGTTGCCCTCATGGGTGTTAGTTTCTTCCTGGAGGTTGAAGGATATGTTACCTTCCTCTTGGGTGTTGCTTTCTTGGGTGTTCGTTTCTCAATGGCACTAGCAGTGGCTTTCCTGGGTGTTGATCTCCTAGGTGTTGATCTCCTGGGTCCTGCTACTTTCCCCTTCTTTGTAGGAGTGGTCACTTCTGGCATTTGCATATCTTCTTGTGCTTCAACTGGATGAGTCTGTGATTCAGAAATTGGTTGACTCACACCTTCCAACAACAGCACATCACAATCTTCTGCAGGTTCATCAATCTCATGTTCAACATAGATTTTAACTGCCTTCACCCTTTCTGCATGTTCTAGCATTTCAATGAAGGAACCTTCATCACTTAGAGACCTCAATCCACCATTTGCAACCCCTACACCAGGAACATAGTAGAACAAGCCGTTGACATTGTTATACCCAATTGCAATAATTTCATCCATCAGTCTTTCTATGCTCAGATCCTCTTTGTTTATAAACCTAACATCAAATCTACCACCAACATACTCTTCAACCCAGCCCATCGGAAAACTTCCTCCATGTCTGATTTTAACCAAGATTTGGATACCCATCTGCAATATCACAATAAAAACCGTAACTCCTCACTAAACCCATCAAAAAACCCTAACTTACAATAAACCCATCAAATCTACCCTAATTAGTTTCAAAAATATAAAATTTCCACTCACCTTTTGCTCCGCGCCAAAGACGATGAAGTAGGTGGAAGCCTTGAACTTCGATCGTCTGCAATTTGGGGATCGTCACGCTCTAGGGTTCTACGATTTTCTTCTGCAATTTGGGGAAGAGAGGGAAATTAAAGAATGGGAGTGAATTACTGCTCTTTTGTGATTTTCTAGACAAACCGCTTGCTTATTCCCGCTAAATATCGCCACGCTGGAGTCCACGTCAAGGCCACGTCGGAGTCACGTGAGCTATCGCGTGAGAATAATGGCCGAAAAATTGACTCCGACAAAACTTAAGGCCTATATGGCGCCGGAGTTAAAATTTTATACCAATATGACAAAATAAAAAGTTTATATACCAACATGTCCCCAAGCCTCTAGAAAATATACCAATTTAACCATTTTGCCTTTAATTATGTGTGTATTATCATTTCATGATTTAGAATATTCTACAAATAAAAAAGAAAAAAAGAAAAAAATAAAGAAAATAAATGTTTCTCTTGGAAAATTAAAAGAAATAAAATAAATATTTCTCTTGAAAAATTACAATATTAGTTATGTGAGTCCAAATCCTATTATCATGTCATGATTTAGAATCTTCGAGAAATAAGAATGAAAAGAAATAAAAGGAAAAAATTTCTCTTGCAAAATTACCATTTTACCCTCCAAATTATAATAGGAAGGAGGACAATGTCCACCACTCATCCAACTTTTGCTACCCCCACTATGTTCATTATATAGTAGTATAGATATATACATGAGCATATGTTATGAACAAATCAGCGAAAAAAAGTACTGCTAATCAGTGCCTCAGGCAAGCACAAATTTGCTCAAAAGGAAAATATGATGGAAAGATGTAAAATTAACAAGCATGAGTAATCACAACATAGTGCCTCCTATTTTCTGATGATAATAATAACACTCCTATTTTCTGATGATAATAATAACAATAATAAGATACCTTTGACCTGCACTTGCTCACTATATCAATTACTTCATTTCTTGCGATTCCAGAAAGCCTCAGAACATTGCAGAACTGAAATTATGCATGCTGTAATAAGGATACTCTGTAAGGATTCTCGAAACATCTGGATACCTGCAAGCAAAATAATGTGCTATAGTATAGTAGCAAGGAATTTCTAAGAAACAGCAAGTTACTCATGTAAAAAGAAAAATCTTCTATAAAACAATGAAGAAATAAGATAAAGGATGTCAGAAGCATAGTTGTCAATTTCTAATCCAGTTCAATTGACAAGAAACTATATCGACTTATCTATCAACTTTTGATGTTAACTAATGGAAAACAAAATCAGCAAAGTTAAAAAGTTCAAATTGCGTCCTGTATCACAAAAAGTTTCAAAAACTTAATGCCTGATTGCATCTAACATATTTTTCCGAAGTGAGAGACCAAGTAGACAATTAGATCGAACCATTTTCACATAAAAAATTAGTTTAACAAACACCCTCTAATGATAAACAGCTTTGAGGCACGTTAAAAATGTCTGTCTCAAGTAAACAGACAAATGACTTGGACTACTGTAGCATGATTTCTACATCGTTGCCCCTTCTTCTCTATTTTCCTTAAATATCTGCCAGCTGGTAGTAATGCGGTGCAATTTCTATCAACCATTCAGGTTTCAGTTCTGTAACCTGTCGAATATATTTTCTTTTGGTAAGAACCAGTTCATGATAGATAAGCCATTGTGGACGCTCCTTGTATAGACTGGAACTTCCGTGTATAAACACTGTACAAGGATTCTTAACAGTTTGATATGCTCCAGATCTTTGTAGCTTTGCTGAATGGTGGAAGAAACCAGATGCTATGGCTTTCTTTATGGCATCAAAATCATTGGGGTTTGAGATATGTTCAATCTCAACTTGTTCCAAAAGCCCCTCTAGCTGCTCTCTTATGTCTCTTGCACGTTTCATACTTCGAACCTGGATAAAATTGTCATAACACCACTGAGATGAAAAGTTATTTTCTTTCCATGAGTTGTAAACATTTAATAAACCAATGTGGTCTCCAACATTTCCTTGGTGAAATTTCAACCATGCATTTTCAGCATGGACTTTCAATTCCTTAGGACGGTAAGATATTGAATTACCAGTTGTTAGCATTGCAGCAATGGTTATGATCTCAGCTGAACATTGATATTTGTCTGAAGCAATAATCATCTTTGAAAGCTTGGGATCAAGTGGGAATTCTACCATTTGCCTTCCAATCTTGGTCAACTCTCCTTTGTCGTTCAGTGCGCCAAGAGCAAAAAGTTCCTCAAGGGCCTTGAACAATGCCTCTAATGGTGGTGGATCCATGAAGTCATAATTTGCAAGGTCATGAATACCCAGTCTCTTAAGAACAAGCACTACATGTGTTAGGTTAGTTCTTAGAATCTCAGGTACATTATTATCCTTGAGATCACGCTCATAACCATATGCAGTATATAAACGGTAGCATTTTCCAGGTGCAGTTCTTCCTGCTCTTCCAGCCCTTTGAATTGCCGAAGCTTTCGATATTGGAATAACGAGCAAAGACTCCATACCTGTCCGTGGATAGTATGACTTGACCTTAACAAAACCTGGATCAACGACATATTTTATCCCATCTATAGTCAGTGATGCTTCCGCTATATTTGTTGCCAGGACAACTTTCCTTGATCCCTTCGGTGTAGGCTGAAATATCTTAGCTTGAAGCTCTGTCGGTAAATTAGCATATATTGGACATATTATGATTTCTTTTATTTTTGATCCTAAACAACTTGTTCTGCGCCTTAGCAACTCACCAACAGTCTCAATCTCTTCCTGGCCAGTAAGGAACACAAGTATATCACCAGGCGGTTCATTAATATGAATTTGAAGAACAGTGACAATAGCAGCATCAATATAATCTGCTTCTGGAGATTGAGTGAAATATATGTCGACATGAAATTTCCTTCCTGGAATCATAAATATAGGTGCAGAATCAAAGTAGTCACTGAACTTCTCAGCATCCAGTGTTGCACTTGAAATGAGCAACTTGAGATCTTTCCAGAATCGAGCTATGTCCTTTACCAAACCAAACAAGATGTCTGTTGAAATAGTTCTCTCATGTGCTTCATCGATCATCAATACACAATAACTGGCTAAATCGGGCTCACTAACAAATTCCCTCAAGAGCATCCCATCAGTCATGTATTTTATAACAGTTTTCTCAGAAGTGCAATCTTCAAATCGAATGGAATAGCCAACTTCATGGCCAAGTTTTGTACCCGTCTCCTCTGATACCCTCGCAGCAACACTCATTGCAGCAACTCGGCGTGGTTGAGTGCAGGCAATCTTTCCATGTTTTGTATACCCAGCTTCATGAAGATATTGAGGTATCTGTGTAGTCTTTCCAGAACCAGTCTCGCCAACAATCACAATAACCTGATGATCTTCAATAGCCTGAAGTAACTCCTCTCTATAAGAATAGATGGGCAGAGTTTTTCTCTCATCCTGCAGTTTCTGCAACTTGGACCTTGCAATTGAACAGTTAGGGGTCACACCGCCAAATTCATCTTCATACTCAATTCCATTCATCATCGGCACCTTGACAAAATCAATACCATCTTCAAATACATATTGATAATCATCTGCAGGTATATGCTTATCCTGTGATCCATAATTTAAAGATCCCTTTCGAATTTGATGTTCCTCCCACTCTTCTTGTTCTGCAAAAGGTTTTACCCTGCGACCATCATTGGCATCCCTGTACCTCTTCAGAGCCACGCCAAATCTCTTCTCTTGATTGATACTTCCATCCTGATCATAAGCCTCAGGCATCCTATACTCACTCACATCTTCAATATCCTTCAGGTTCTCATTTGCGAGTGCATATACTTTCTTCTTACACCTCAATTCACGTTCTTCTGCCTCGGTCCTCTTACCATCTCCAAATAGATACTCATCATCAATGATCTCATCCTTCAACTCTACAAGCTTCTGGTTCCTCCTTTTCTTCAAATATGCTTGCCTCGAAGCTTTTCTTAGATTTGATATATCAATTGCTTCAAGAGCCTCCGATCTCTTCAATGTGGGCTCCTCATCATCTTCGCTACCATGACTCTCACCAGCCTTCCTGGATCTCTTTTTACGAGCATCCATTGGTAATTCATCTGACTCATCATCACCAACATCATCCAATATCAACTTGTACTTGCATTGCTTCTTTGCTAACCGGGTTGCTTCTCTCTCTTGTTCCTCATAACTGCTCAAACCGCCATAGGGTTTTCTGTGAGGAACTTTATCAAACACCTTACGAGCAAAAGCAATGGTGTCCTCAGATGAAGGCATCCCATATTCAACAAGCCTATTCACAAGATCATCAGGTGAAACCGAAATCTTCGACAAATTAATAACGTATTTAGTAACCACAGCAGTTGAATACCCCATTAGAGACATCAACTCATCTGAGACCCAGGTTTTCAGGGAAGCCTCTGTTGCCATTGGCATTGATGGCTCTGGCATATTGGCTCTTTTTTTTAAAAAAAATCTTTACCCAGAACCCAGAATCTCATAGATTGTACAATAGAAATCAAAATTATGGATTTGATAGATGAACGAAGCAAAAAAAAAAAAATCTAATTTTGATGGAAAATTTACAGAGAGATGTTATGGAAAATAAAGAAATTGGAGATAGGTACCTGATTGCTTTTCCTCTTGCTGTTGTATGGCTCTCTTACTATGATTTGGTGTAGAAAACGAACCCTAATACCTTTCACCGCTTAGGTCTCCGAATCCTGAGAGTAATCGGATTGAAATTTTCTTTTGATCGTGTTTTAATTTAGGTCTTGTTTGGATTGAGGGGAATGATGGTGAATGGAAGTTAGGGGAACCATTCACTTTCATTCATCGTGTTTGGATTCATCGTGTTTGGATGGAGGGTAGAGAGGGGGAAGGGAAGGGAAGAGAAATTTCATTTTAAACTTGTTTGGGAGTTTCATTTTGGAGGGTAGAGGAGGAGAATGGAGGGGAAATTTGGCCCAAATTCTTACACCCCAAATTGGGGTGTAATGGAGGGGAAGGGAAGGAAGGGGAAAAATTCCCCTTCCTTCCCCTTCCTTCCCTTCCCTAAGTAAACTCCCAAACAAAATGAAGGTACTGTTTGGCAACTAAAAAAAGTGTCTTATCTAAGAGCTTGTGTCTTATTGACTTGGTCAATAAGCTAGTAGAGCTGTTTGGTAACTAAAAATAGGAGGAGATTATTTTGGAGATTATGTCTTTTGCAAGTAGCTTTTGGAAAGCTATCTCAAGTAGCGTTTGTCTTTGGGAAGGAGCTGTCAATTTTTTTCTTCTGTTTTTACCCCTAATAATTCTAATTTTATATCAATAATATTGCATGACCTTTTTAGTTATTTAACAAATTTAAGCTAGTTGTGCAGCTTATTTTGCCAAACAGCTCTAGTCAATCAGCTAGCTACACAGCTATCAGTTTTCAGCTACAATTTCACAGCTTTCAGCTAGCTTGACAGCTTTCAGCTATAATCTCGCAGCTTTCAGCTAGTTTTGCCAAACAGAGCCGAAGTTAATTCACCCTAATTCCCCTTGGTTCACCTCCTAATAGTATAAAAATTGTTACCCCCAAATTGGGGTGTAACCAAGGGGAATGGAATTCCCTTCCCTTCCCTTCACTCAGTTTCCCTTAACTTCCCTTCACCCCCTTAGGGAGCTTCCTACAATAGGCCTCCACAAGTTTCAACGATAAAAGCCCGATTCGGTATTTGGAACTATTTTCTTAATCGGATTCAGAATACCCAATTCCGAATCCGAACCAAAAACAGAAGTCCGACTCCAGCTAGAAAATTTCACGAGTGAAGAAAAGGAAATGTATTTTCTTAATTACAACACGGTACTCTAGGGTATAATGTTATACTCAAGCCATATAATTAACGGTTTTTCTATAGAGTGCCTATGAACACTCTATAAGAGAGGAGAGAGATAGAGAAAAATGAATGAGAAGGGGGGTCCCCTGATTTTTCATTGGGATACTTTTCTCATTCATTTTTCTTTATCTCTCTCCTCTCTTATAGAGTGCTCATGGGCACTCTATAGAAAAACCATATAATTAAAATCATTATACTCAAGGGTACTATCTCAAGGTTATCAATGTAGTTACATCATACCCGAAACACCGGTTTATAATTAATCCTTTTTTTTAATAATTCATTTCTAAATTGAAGCCAAGATCCGCGTGCGTTTTGAGGTAAGAATTTTTTTTTCTCACACAACCCTATGATATATTGTTAGGCATATGATATATCATTAGTTATTAATGTTGAATTAACATTTATACTTGCTATATAAGGCAGTACGTGTTGGGGAATTTCAGTCTCCCCGCCTACCATGATATGCGCAACTCGGAAGCCAACCCCAACCAATAAGATAGAACAACCACAATCAAGAATAAGAACACTAAGATTTACGTGGTTCGGTCGACCAACTTCGACCTACGTTCACGGGGCAACAATACGAGAAATTCACTATGTATCAGGGAGAACTACAAGAGGAACCACTCAACTATCGTCTCTCAATCTCTCAACCTCACATACATAATCAACTCTCATATTCTCTCCAAAGCCCACTCCTTGTAATCTTTTGCACGGATAAAGACTACGAAACCCCCCCTCTCTCTCTCATCTACTACATCTCTACTTTTTTCTTCATGGTTTTTCCTCCACCAATAGAAGAATATATATAGGGAAACCAAAACTCTATCTCTAGCCTAACTTCCTAATTAGAATAAGATTCAAACTACCAATCATGATGGAACCCAAACTCCTAATCATGATAGAACTCAAACTCCTAATCATGATAAAACCCAAACTCCTAATCATGATAGAACTCTAACCCTATCTAATTCTCATGAAGTTACACAAAGAATCAAAGACAAAATCCCAACAGTACGAACGTTATTGTTTTGCAAAAGGTGAAATAACAAAACAAAATTTGTTTTTATTTATTTTGTAATTTGTAATATTATATTTTTATTCAACCATTTAGACGTAATTTATTTTAGTAAAATAGTATTTTTGATAATAAAATGATACTGCCAGCTAGTTTTATTTAGAAGAAAAACTCAAATAGATATCTCCACAACGTAAAAGTAATATTATTAAGAAATTTTTTAATTGTCAACATACTTTAATGTAATTATACGTTATAATAAGATAACATTTTTGAAATCCTCATATATGTAATAAAATAATAATTGAAATAATAATAAGTGCCATCATAATTTAAATATTTTTAATTTTCATAAGGTAGAAGTTTAGTTACCAATTTTATAAGTAGTCCCTAAAGAAGCAAAAGGCATATTGTATTCGTTTGTCAAATAAGTAGTATGGAAAGAAACTACATAACCAAAATATTTATATTCAAAAGCTTTCAGATTGGTCCCCAGAATCCAATATTTTTGGCATTTTTTGCTATAGAATTCACAAGCTTCTTTGAATGATTTAAAAGTCATCAGCACTGTAGGTTTTATGTGGTCGACTCCACTTGTAGTGTCGTTAGCATTGTCATCATGAATCTCTATGTTGATCTTTTTTGTTGGATGAATTTTTTGTGAAGATTTTTCTTCAGTTCCATCCTCTGATGTACATTACAAGTCAGCCAAAAATTAAGCAAGCACTCTAAAATTAAGCTAATACAAGTTATCATCTAATAAAGCTAGAGTGACAGAGCTTAAAAATAATAAGGTTCTATTGCAACAAAAATATATAAAATTGCCTCGATTGCACATGAAACATTAATGTTAGAAGGAGAATGAGTAGTCACTAGAGCAATCATAAGGTTCTATTACAACGGAAATATATAAAATTGCCTCGATTGCACATGAAACATAGGGCTGTCCATCCGGCCCGGCCCGGCCCGGCCTGAGCGGGCCGGACACCGGGCCGGCCCGGTTTGATTTTTTTAAATTTTTTTTTATTTTTTTTATTTGTTTAAAATTTTAACAAACCATAAATCATAAATTATTATAAAAAATGTCATAAATTTAATTAATAACTTGAAATGAAATGACATAAATTACAAGTACAAAAAATGATAAAAATAACTTCTTTATTAATAATCGGTAAATCCTTTACAAGTATAAATTTATTTCGAAATTCGTCGCATCACAATAGATGAGTACATCCCAACTAGGTTGGCACCTACTCACCCATATCACTATCATTTGCAACTTTTTTCGAAATAATTTAATTCAAATTTAAAGCTAAGAAATAAAAATTACAATTTTATGAATATTATCTAATCATTATATCTATCTGCTAGTCCCAACTCTTCAAATTTATCTTCAATCATAGCAATCCGTTCGATGCCTTGTGTTCGCTTCTCGTATCTCCACCAATCCTGTAAGCACATCACCGCTTGTACAATATACGGATCTAAGCATGTCCTGTGGTCGTCGATCAAACGTCCTGCTATGCTGAAAGCGGATTCCGAGGCTACAGTCGAAACCTGCACTGATAGTAAGTCACGAACCATGGTGGAAAGTATAGGATATGAAACTGATCCATATACTTTCCACCATTGCAAAATAACTAAAGCATTTCCTTGACATTTAACTAAGGAAGCAGATAAATATTCATCTATTTTAGAAACCTCTAATCCTAATGAAGTTCCAGATCCACCAGTTAGTTCAGCTACCATTGCATACCTATCAAAACTTACACTTTTACCTCAACCTGTGCTCGAAGCTGAAGGTGCCGAAGCTATAGACTGTTGTGTAGCTACACCATATCTAGCTGCATACTCATCATATAAGGTTTGAAAATAATTTCTAATAGCTAAATAATGAGTAGTAGCAGTAAGGGTGGATCCATCATCTAAGTCTATAATCTGTCCACCATACAATGATTGTAACAAACTTCGAAGGCCAATTTCCTTCAAGCATGGATCAATAAGAACACCAATACCAAAAATATGAGGAATAGGCCTAAAATACTTATTAAATTTACTCTCCATTTCAAAAATTATACTTCCAAAAATATCATCCATACGATATTTTGTAAAATTTTTTTGAATATTTAAAATTTGTAAAGCAGCTAAAGTAATAGTTGGATAATAACAACCAGATAATAACATAGTAGCATCATAAAAAACTTGTAACATCTCATTTAATTTACATATAACTGTCCATTCATCTTCAGTTATTCCATAAGCACTACCAGAGCTAGAACTAGAAGCATAAAAATTTATAAAATCATTTATAATTTCTTTATATTCTATTGCTACAGATAACATTGCATAGGTGGAATTCCACCTATGGTCAACATCTTTTGGAATTAGTCTAGGCTTATAATTTTTTCTTTTACAACATTGTTTCCATCTTTTAATTCTCATTTCAGAAGCATTATGCATATTAGTAACTGTTCTAACTTTTTCTATCATGGGTTTAATTTCAGAAAATGCACTTTGAACAATTAAATTTAAAATATGACAGATACATCTAACATGAAAAAGCTCACCATGACATGGCAATGACAAAGTTATTTTCAGAAAATCAACAGCTACATTATTATTACTTGCATTATCTAGTGAAAGAGTAAATATTCTTTGATCAATTTCTAGTTTCATAAGTTCTTCAACAATTAAATTTGCAACATTAATACCAGTGTGTGACTCTTCAATTGCAATAAAAGAAACAACTCTTTTAAACATTTTCCAACTTTCATCAATCCAGTGTGCTGTTATACATAAATAACCAGTTTGCACTCTAGATGACCAAATATCAGAAGTTAAAGAAAATTTGCAGTTTAAATTTTTAAAATAAGAAATTATTTTTCCCTGTTCCTCAACATAATATTTTAAAATATCACGTTGACAGGTTTGACAAAAAAAATTTGTAAATGCATGATAAAAACCTTCTCTAAACAAATCTTCAAATTCATCATCTTCTACTAATTTAAAAGGAAGGTTTTTAGAACAATAAACTTGATTACGCATTTCCGGGCTCGGGCAGCGTCATAATTCCAACTGCCGAGGGTACCTGAAGAGGATGATTGGGAAAGCATAGACTGCCGGATATCACCTTGTAGATTTTGGCCTTTGTTGTGTTTTTCAATATGCCGTTTGAGATGGTTGGTGCCGCTCTTATGATGAGCTTTGAATATCTGGCCGCACAACGCACATTTCGCATTCTGAGAGATGATCCTACCGTGTTCATCCTTGGTGACGTCTATCTTCTCAAAAAAATTCCATACATCAGACCTCGGCCTTTTTGGAGCTCTTGGTGCCGTAGATTCGTCGCCACCAGATTCAGGATTAACACCGGTAGGATGAGGAGTTGTTGTAGGAGGACTCATCTCTGGATCGGTAGGAGTTGCATGTTGCTCTTCATAATCAGACCCAGAAGCCATTTGTTGGAAGTATTAGAAAATACAAAAGATTATAGGATAGTATATTAGTATGAGATAGTATAAGATTGTATAAGAGAGTAGTAGAGAGAGAAATAGATGAGTTTTGTTGTGAGAAAATGAATTGAAACCCCCCCTCTATTTATAGAAGCAGCCCCCTAGGTAAATGACCAAAAAACCCTCGAAAAATAGCCGTTTTTTGACCGTTTTAAGGGGCAAAACGGTCAAAAGACCAAATCTGACTCGGGCCCGGGCCCGGGCACGACCGGCCCGGGCCCGGGCTCCGGGCTTTTTGGACACCCCTAATGAAACATCAATGTTAGAAGGAGAATGAGTAGTCACTAAAGCAAGGCAATGCAATGCAACAATAATTATGAAGATATCTATTATGTTTCTAAATTATTTCTTTCTGCTTTTCCCCCAAAGTTTCCCTATCGAAACTAATTCTGTTGTTCTCTGATCAGGTGCTAGATTGGATCGCTGCTAACTTAGCTGTCCCTCACAAAAGTCCCATATTAAGGCTCCAAAAATAATTAGTCAGGAAAAAACTTGAATATGCGTTTTTATTATAGAATGAGATCTCAAGAACCTTCTCATATCATGCTTCATTTAACAAGAGAAAGATTAGCCAATATTTTTGTATCCAATGATCTGTTTTTCTTTAAATGATTAATTGATAGTTGACACTTAAATTATTTCCAAATTTCATTGATCATGTTAGTGGACCTAACCTAGTTAAGAACTTAAATTTTGTTTAGCTAAATCTGATTTTGTAAGATGAAATTTTGCCTCCAAGACATGTTAAGATTAATCCACCTTTGATGTGGATCAAGAGTAACCTCATTAAATTCTTAACTTGCTTAGTTGGGACTCGCAAAACACAACCTACGAAGAAGATTGTAATGCAAAACATTATTCGAAAATGTTCAAAATTTTAGCTACTGACAAACCTTAAGCTTGAATTTATAATTAAAATTTCTATTTCTATGATAAGACTAAGAGAAAAATAATAACATAGTTGAGATTACTTTCTCACAAACAAAACTTCATATAATAATATTTTCTCAATCCATTTATCACATACAACACATACAAAACCCCATCTTGATGCATATGACAAGTGTTAATATATGCTTGGATACAAAGGAGGGGAGTAATTGGCTTAAACCCAAGGGGAGGAGTGGAAAGTGAAGGGACGTAGTATACTCATTTGTGTTCGGATAGACAATAAGAGGATGTGAAGGTACATTATAATATGTGTTTGCTTAAAGTAAAGGATGTAAATGGAGGGTGAGCTACTTGGTCAATATGTCTTTTTAATCATATCATACTCCCTTTAAAAGAGGGAGTTGTGGAAAAACTTTTCAAGGACTATACTACCCCTATTCTTTGTTGATATTACATTCTATTCTAATACTAATTAAACTAAATTAATTATCATTGTTAATTATAATTACATTATATGTCACTTTAAGTTTGTATAATTTGGTCCCTAAAACTTCCAACGCTATTGTAAAACTCTACATCATATCAATTATTAGTAATGTAAAATAATATATTAATAGATAATTGCATGTTAATAAAGTATTTATGGAAAGAGTAGAAAACATAGAATTGTCCTGAAATTATACCATGAAACTCATATAGGAAAATTACAAAGAGTATTTTTATGTTTATGTAAGAGGACAGAATGTAAAAACATTATATTTTAGAAAACATTAGGATATTTAACTGCAGCAAGCTAGATATGTTATCTAAAATTTAAAAAATGTGCAACAAGATACAAGTGGAGGTATATAAATATAATTGCTGTAAACTATAAAAGATTTAAGTTCAATTAAGCCTATAAAAGATTTAAAACCTTTGTTATCCATAAACAATAATATATGAACCCATTGATAAATAATATTTATCATATATACAATATGAGGCCCAATGGTTAGCTTATATTTATATAGTAGAGGAGATGCTGAAAAATTGAAGCATCATATTTTGAATGAGTCTCAAGATTTTAAATTATTTCCTAAAATTATATACTTCGCTTAAAAAACTTTAGAATAGGCTTCTGAAGGACTACTACAAAGGGTTGGACATCAGATAAATATTAAACAAATAAACTTCATGATATCAGATTGTAAAATTCAGGGATGTCTATGTAATATTGGGTGTCATATGAGATAATATTCATACATAACATGACATTGTAATATGTAATCTAACATATTAATGAAATTTAAATATAATAATTTGCATCAAGAAATATGCTTAAGATTTGGGAGAGCCGAGAGTGGAGAGATTTGGAGAAGAATTGTGGCCTTTGTGGGTTTTGTAGGTTCTAATTTTATTTCCCAAACACGATCCAAACTCGAGTCCGCAATCAAATTAAAAAGGACATGATTTTCTCAATATCTTCAAATAGATATATTGGCCATATTTTCGATAACGGTCGATATATCAAAAAAATCACCAAACAAAAGAAAACAAAAGGAAATATTACCGAGATAATTTCTCAGACTATATTTATAATTTTATGAAACTAGAGAGTAATCATTTTGATAGATCAATTAGTAGTTGGGAAGATGTAAAAAGAGTACAACAACAGATTTTAAAATTGATCATATAATTTATATTTTCTTTCTTGATTGAATTTGCACATTATAACTTAGAGAATTCTAGAAAAAAGTTCTTGAATATCTATAATACTTGGTCGCCTGATAAATAATAGGTGGAAGTGATTTTTTCATAACCAAACAAAATCCTTACTAACTAGATAAAGCCTACCATTTTTCTTTGATGAATTCAAGAATTTATTTTTTTATTAATAATTATAGGTATTTTTCGTATTGGTCCCTTACATCACTAATATTTTAAAATTATACGTTCAAATTAGTAATTAATCTTAAATCGTTAATATTTTAAGGTTTTAAACATCACTATTTTTTTGGAAGACAAAAATGTTAAAACCATACATGGAAATATTCAAACAAAAATTAATATATCATGATATTTATAAAGTTTTTTGCAACCATATTATAGTAAATAAATAAACCTAAAAAATAATTATGATATTTGATCACGTGCAGTGCACGTGCATTCCACCTAGTAACATAATAATTATGAGTTTGATTAGACTAGGGAACTCTTTCATATACATCTGCACTCTGTAACAAACAATAATAGAAAGACTTACATGATTGGATCAGGGAATGATCCACGAGAGAATTGATTAGCAATTTTTTTAGGAGAAACTATTCCTCTTTTTTATTTTTTATTTTTTTGCTTCGTTGAAATTGATAGGGCTTTTATTAGGGAAGCAAATGAAAAAGAACGCCTTTTAATTTTCTCATATAGGGCAACATTGTATTTGAAACCCATCCCGTTCCTTCCCAATCCTTCCACTTTTGGTGGGTTGAGAAAATGACTAAAATTTTTAATTTTCAACCCTCCCCTTCAAATCCGTCCACTTTTAAAGGATTAAGAAAATGACAATTTTTTTTAATTTTCATCACTCTCCTCCTTTTCCCTTATGCCTGTTTGGATAGATGGTAGAGAGGGGGAGGAGAAGAGAAATACAGCTTTCACCTTGTTTGAGAGTTTTTTTAAGGAGGGTAGAGAGGAGGAAGAAAGGGGAACAGAAGGTAATTGTTTCCCCCCCCCCCCCCCGATTTGGACGGTAGAGGAGGGTAAAGGAGGGTAAATGGGTGTAATGACATTCTTACCCTCATCAAAACAAATAAAAGGGCTGATGTGTTATTAGTATAAAGTCATTTATGTAAATTTATATATATTTACTTCCTTTCACCTTGATTCACCTTACTCAACTCTCAAACAACATATTACAATTCTCTTCCCTTCCCTTCCCTTCCCTTCCCGTTGTTTACCTTTCCTTCCTTTACCTTCCCCCGTTGTTTACCTTTCCTTCCCTTCCCTCAGTAAACTCACACCATTACTAACTATAAAAAGTGTAAACAAAAAGAGATACCATACTAAGGGGGGGTTAGTCACGGGGGTTAGTCACCTAGAACTTAAAATTGGAACTAGGATAATTTGTAGGATAATTTTTTAAGGTGTTAGTCACATAGAACTAAAACTAGAACAAAATTTTACAGTGTTAGTCAAGTAGAACTCTAACAAAACTAGAACTGGGATAATGGTACAAAATTATCCCACTTTTTTTATTTTTCTATACAAAAATGAGAGTTCTAGTCTCTCAAACTATTCCAAGTTTTAGCTTAGAACTAGGTGGTAAAAAACTAGAACTCATATTTATTTTATTATTTTTTATTTTTTATATTTCTTTTTTTATCTTTACTTCTTTCCTATTATGATTATCACCATTAGACCATAATAATAATAATAATAATTGTCAATATCTTATAGCCTAACGAAAAGTTATTTAATAGTAAAGAACATTCTTGTAAGCAATTATAAATTAATAATAATAAGTTTAAAATACATAAATAATATTTATATCTTCAAAATGTATAAATATATATTTCATAATTATAAAAATTTATCCTACATTATTTTATCAAAATATCCCGCTTCACAAAATTGTTCCCGAGTATTAGCGTTATAAGCCTCCCCTCCGGCCCCCTCCCCTCCTTGGAACCCGAAGACCCGGACCCTAAATCACCGCCCAAATCCTAGCCCTTCATCTCCTCTGGCAGTTCACGCTTTTTCACACGGCCAAAATCTGCCCAAATTAAAAATTACTGATCTTTTCTTTATTTTCCCCCAAAACCTTCTGCGTGAGCTTTTTCCTCTTCAACCCAAAACCCCAAGGAGAAGAAGACCCAGCATCAGCAGCAACAGCCATGAGTACTATGAAATTCTGCCGTGAATGGTATTAACCTAAACATCTAATACCAATCTATTTTAGTGCAGTATTTTCTTTCTTCTTAAATTGATTTTTTTTAAATTTTATGTTGGTTGTAGCAACAACATATTGTACCCGAAGGAAGACAGGGATCAGAAGATCCTGCTCTATGCTTGCCGCAACTGTGATCATCAGGTTCAGTCACTTCTCATTGTTAATGTTAAGGCAAATTTGGGACTTGGGTTTTTGAAGAGAGTAACCTTTATGCTCATGTTCTTTCATTTTCTAGGGTTTTACCCTACAAAAGGTAGTCACTGATTTGATTTCTTCGTTCTAAGATTTCATTCATTGAGATTTGAGGGAAGACATAAATAATTCGGCTGTCTAAGTGACTGGCTTGGATAATTTAGTTATTATTATTAAAGTTTCATACTTTTTAGGATTAGGGTATAGTTTGTGATTGTGGCAAGCTTTTGTTGGTAAGCTTCATCTATGGCTAACATGATAGGAAAAATTAATAAATGTTGAATGCCATGGATGTAAATCCTTTAAGGGGAACATTAGGATATGCTCCATTAGATAAATCCTTACTTAAACTAATTTGGATTTTTTTCTCTTACTTATCATTTGCTTACTTTTGCATATTGATGTTGAAAAAAATGTTAATTTTGTATGGTTTAGGAGAATATTGCATTTAGATTCTCTGACCCTTTTTTCAATTTACCCATTGGAATTTGGTTGCACGAACTTCAACTGCATTGCTATGAAAAAGAAAAGGTTGCGTACTTTTTCCAAGAGGTGAAACAAGTTTTCATACATAGCTTTTTTAGCTCAGAAAATTGATCAAGAATTTGATATTAATTCAGTAAGTATTATCAATCGGTAAACATGTTCTTCTTTCAAAGTATGAAACCCCGTCAGGAACAATTGTAAGTTTTCTAACTACTAACTATTTAGTGACATCACTTTCTGAAAATTCCGGATCCGCTATTGCTGTGACATGTATAGGAGGCAAAATAAGATTTTATATGGTCGATGTCTCGAAGTTTTACTCCAAAATCTCAAAATGGTTTTGCAATTCTCCTCTAGGCTCGTCAAGCTAACACCGATCTTCTATAGTATAGTGTCTACTAGTCTGCTGTGATATGAGCTTAACTAATTTTTTTTTGATAACCCTTTTTCAATACAAATTTCATGCATCCTACCAACTATGCCAAAACCATTATATCTATACATATAATTATCTTCGGAAGAAAACATCTTGTTTCACATCAATTTTGCAATAACATGCATCATTGGGGTTTTCTGAAGGTGTTATAATTCTATTAATTAAAGATGTCATAGAGTAGTACTCTTAGAAATGTTCTCATTTTCAATGAAAGTTCCATCGCCAAACGCTGATAAGTAACACTTTTCCAAAAAAAACTTTAGTTGATGGGTAGTGAACTAGTCGGACATGTCAATGATCCTAATGCCCTTCTCACATGTTCCACATGTAATTCTATTGAAAGGTAATTTATGAACAACGTGAATCACTTTGGCCTAGTGTATAAAATATTGGCCGATACATCGATATGTTGGCCTATATATCGGGTTCGACAGCAACCCACAATGATATTTACAGGTTTATAGCGCTTTTCGATTTTTAGAATTTTTTGTGATATATTGGCCGATATCTTATATATCCTGATATCCGCTATATTGGCCAATTTAGGGTTTTTTATTGTTTACTTTTTTTGTGTTTGTGTTTTCAACCCCATCCAAATACCAGATAAATCTCTCTCTTTACTTCAAAAATCACAATTAATTTCACAAAAATCCTAGCCCTTACAATTTTGACGCGCCTCTCACTCTCGCTCTTTCCCCTTCTTTGACAGTAAGCTCCCTCTCTCTTTCTGCCCTCTCTCTCTTCATTGCCCTCTCCCTTTTCTCTCTCTGCTCTCTCTCTCTCTCTCTTCCTCCTAGGTCTCAGGCCTCTCTCTCTGTCCCTCTCTCTTCTTCTCTTTTCTTGATCTCTCTCCCCGTCCTCTTTCTTCTTTGTCCCTCTCCTCTCTCTCCCCCTCCACACCTTCCTCTATCTCTCTCTATCTCTCTCTAATCTCTCTCTACGTCTCTTTTAATGTTATGCACTTTGAAGATTTCATGATGCAATTGAGAACAAAGTTTCTATAATTTTTTAGTCATCCTAAAGATATATCACAATGTAGTTTCTTATATTTAAAAATAATTAAATATGTTAAGATTACATATTAGAATGTTATATTATGCATAAATATCATCCGATATGACACCCCGATATTTAATACCTATCACCAATTCCTAAACATCGTCAAACATGACACCCCGATATTTAATACATATCACCGACTTTCGAAATCTGATATGAAGTTTGGTCATTCGACATTTACGTGATGTGCAATATTTAAAACATTGCTTTGGCCACATGAAGGTCTTTAATTCATAACATGCTAAAGTATAAGAACTATACTGTAATGCTTAAGTACATAAAACATTTGTGCTACAAGGGAGACACTGATATATTCTAAGTTTCATGCATTTGTTGTTGCATATTAGGGTACATGTCCATATATATGTGCGTATATCTATGTTGATTGGACACGAGTACCGATACAAGTGCATGTATGGTCAAGGGTAATATTAACCATGGAAAGATTTATCCAAACTCACACTTTTAAAGAAAGTGTGATATGTATATGTATATGTATATGTACATGTACATGTGTGTGCATAGTGTGTGGTGTGTGCACGTTGCTCATCACATTAGAATGTTTGGACCTCACATATTATATCTGTTGGTAAGTCATTCTAATGTGTGCGCGTTTCTCATCACATTAGAATGTTTGGACTTCACCTATTATATTTGTTGGTAACTCATTTTAAATTTGGTGGCAACTCATTATATATGAGATGGACTATTCTCCTAGTAAGAGGAGAAGCTATCTACTGATTTTATATTTGTGACCGTTGGACGTACCATCTTCTAACTGAGTTTTTATGATTTAAAAAAATCAGAGGAAAAAGAGAAACATGTTGGCTCTGTTTACTAGTGCAACGTGTAAACAAAATATGTGGGGCCCGCCACCATACTTTCATTTATACCCATGTTTGGCCTTCTTTTCCAGCATGTTCCCTCTTAAGCGAGATTCCTCAAACAGTAATGTTTTATAGAAAACCTTGGTGCATGGCTCATATATTATCATGGTTTTTATGTTAATCTTCCTCGTTTCGATACCCATTAGGTATTTACCCTTTGGTAGATCAAGGAATCATGTGAAGCGTATAAAAAACTACCAAACAATTTTGTAGGCTAGATGCTTTTTTATTTGTCGTGACCGAGTACATGGAATCACAAAACTTATAATAAATAGCTATAGTAGAACCGTTGGAGGAATGATCAAATTTGTTCTTCCTCCTTAGAAATAAATAAATAAAGAAAGATAGCTAATAGGGTATATTGTTGTCGATGGTTGAGTTCCATCGGATGAAGAATCAAGCAGAATCAAGTAGAAACTGTTCGATTCGGATGGTTGAGTTCCATTGAATTTAGTAATCACCATGGTCTTATTATGGCTTTGGTTTTCCTTGGATTTTCAGTAATTATGAGATAAGAAGCGATGGAAGAGAATCAGGAAGAGGAAGAAGAAAGAAGTGAGTCCAACTTGATCCTATTAACTCAATACCTCCGCTTGCTAGCTATATCTTTCCCTCCTTACTTTTTCAAATAATTAACTTTAGTGAAATCTTAGCCATAATAATTTATATCGAAGGGTTATGATATTTAGGAAGAGATACCTACTTCTGTTAATAGGAGAACAGTCTATGTGAATAGTGTGCAGGCATGTGTGCATGTGTGTGTGTGCATGTGTGCTGGGGAGCATGCCACACCTATTAAAGTGTGCGCGCGATGTGCTCGTGGGCAGCGTGGGTGCTTGTGTAGTGCGCGCACGTGTCATAACAGTTCATGTTCAGTATCTTCCTTAGATAAATAAGGAGGGGAGGAGGGACATGTGGGGTGTGTGTGAAATGGGTATAGGATGACAGTTCATATTCTATATATATATATATATATATATACATACATATATATATATAGATACAACTACAATAGCAACAAAGCCTTGATCCCAAATGCTTGGGGTCAGCTATATGATTCCTATTCTTCCATTCCATTCTGTTATAAGTCATCTCATCCGTTAAGTTAATCATAATCATATCCTTCCTAACTATTTCCAACCAAGTCCTTTTGGGTCTACCACTAGATCTCCTAGTCCTATTAGTTATAATATTATCACTTTTTTTAACCGGTGGACTAAGAGGCCTCCGTTGTACATGATTAAACCATCTTAATCTATTCTCTCATTTTGTCCGTAATAGGAGCAACCTTTAATTTACTATGAATGTACTCATTTCTTATCCTATCTTTTAATGTATACCTACAAGACTATCACAACATTTTTATTTTTGCTACACATTTTTTGCACATGTTTTTTAATTGCTCAACACTTGAACCCATAAAGCATAGTTGGTTTTATAACCATCCTATAGAATTTTTCCTTTAGTTTTATTGGTATTTTACGATCACATGAGACTCCCGAGACACTCCTCCATTTCAGCCATCAGATTTAATTCGATGTACAACATCATCTTTTATCTCAGCGAAAATGATTACTTATAGATATTTCTTCACTATCAATATATACTATAAGCTTTTTTCTTTTCGTAGTTTTACTAAAATTGCATTCCATATATTTTGTTTTTTTCTACCAATTCTAAAACCTTTAGATTCAAGAACTTGTTTCCATCTTTCTGCTTTATAAATTATACTTCTTCTAGTTTCGTCAACTAACACTATCATCTGCAAATAACATACATCATGAAATTTCATCCTAAATGTGCCTATTAAGTTGGTCCATAACTAATATAAAAAGATAAGGGCTTAATGTTGACCCTTTGTGTAAGCCTATGGTAATAGGAAACGACGTAGTCTCTCCTTCATTAGTTCGTACTCTAGTTGTTACTCTATCATACATATCTTTAATCATATCAATATATAAATTAGATACATGTTTTTTTGTAAAAATGCACCACATTACCTCTCATGACACTCTTATCATACGTTTTTTTTAAGATCAATGAAAACCATATGTAGATCTTTTCTCTTTTCTCTATATCTCTCCATCAATCATTTTCAAAATATGTATAGGTTCCATAGTTGACCTCTTGGGTATAAAACCGAATTGATTTTCAGATATACTTGTCTCCTTTCTTAATCTTTGCTCAATTACCCTCTTAAAATTTCATATTATGACTCACGAGTTTTATACCATGATAATTTGAATAGCTTTGTATATCTTCTTTATTCTTATATATCGGTATCAAAGAATTAATCCTTTACTCATCAGACATTCTCTTCGTCTCGATAATCTTATTAAATAAATTAGTTAACCATCCTAAGCTTATATCTTCAAGACATCCCCAAACTTTAAGGGATATCATCCGGTCCTACGTCTCTTATGCTTTTCATTTCTTTAGAGCATTTTTAACTTCGCTAATCCTCATTTTTAGACAATATCTATAGTTTTTACCATTCACTATATGGTCAAATTCTCTATTTTGCTCGTTTGTTTGTTATCATTAAAAATTGATGAAAGTAACTCCTGCACCTCTTTTATTTCCCCGTCTGTCACTAGAGCTCTTTGATCTTCGCTTTTAATACACCTAATATACCCAAATCCCTATTCTTCCTTTCTCTAATCTTAGCAAGCTTATATATATCTTTCTCTCCCTCCTTAAATTTAATTTCTTATAGAAATTTTCATAAGCCTTGTATTTATTCTTACTAACTATTCTTTTTGCTTCATTTCTTGCTAGCTTATATTTCAAGTTTTCTGTACTCCTACACTATTGATATATAGATATTTAGATTAATAGGGAGGGACCTATTGGTCAGTCATATTCAGTATCTTCCACATATGCATACTTGCATATCGGGTCAGTCATATTAAAGATCTGCTTCGTTGAAGTTGATCGAACTTATGTACATTATTCAAAGTGCGATAATCAAGCATCTCAAGTTGTTTTTGCCTAATGCCTTAAGAGGAGCAAAGTGGAGGGTTTAAATTGAGAGTTGGTTAGTTAAATAGTGTAGAAATTTTGAGACCTGCAAATTAGGTCTTTAATGGTTTTTAACTGTCTAGATCAAGATCAAATATTTGAATTGAAAATTCTGTGTCGCAAGTGTAGATTTAAGCAAAATACCATATCCGATGATCATTTTGTGTCTACTTGCTGCATGGAATCTAAATTGTTTACCTTTAGGCTTCAGTAAGCATCTAGGAGTGATCCATTAGCTACTTAGTATCACTATGAGATGGTTTTTACCCAAGGTGCTTTTAGTAAGCATCTAGGTGCTATTCATTTTGCTATTTAGGATCACTAGCACTCTGTTGCATGGATACAGGTACATGTATGGGACACAACAAGTTTATAAAATGTAGGGTACGAGGATATGGTAATATTAATATTTATATACACGTATATTATATATTAGAATTAATAATCTATAATGAGAACAAGAATGAGAATTGAAATTCCTATTACATTTTTATGTTTCTTTTATTATGTGGATTATAAATTGAAAGATCACTAGTTTTTGAACTAGACATCCAAACAATCCTTCAAAATCATAATTCCTAACTTGACCTATGTCCAACAAGTTTCAAGAAGTGGATGTGAAATGTAGGATATATGCCCAGTAAATGTAGGATAAATGTTTTAAATTAAAACATGTACTGTATTATTGAGTATATGCCCAAATAAATGGATGCATATATGCAAGAAGTGTGCAAGGAGTTTGGGTACGGATACGAGTACGGGTAAGTGTCGGGTACTGGTATGACTTCAGATTAGAAGTACCCATGTAACATAGCTGTCGCTGCTAGATGCTACTCAAGAGTAGTGCGTAATTAAACACCAGGAAATGAATGAACATTTTGCTGCTTTGGATTGTTGTTGATGATTGAAGATGTTATAGAATCAGCAAGATAGTCAAATGGAGATGGCTTCTATAACTATGACCAAGTTTGAAGGAAATGCATCATGTTAGGCACTAAAAAGCCATGTATTGGAAAATGGCTGCTGCTGAATCGGGAATTTTGTTAGATGCATGTATGCAATACTCCCAAGGTAGGTAACAAGTGGGCGCACTTAACTTTAACTGAAGATGAGATGAGGGAATTGAAATGGATGATACATGTGTAATTTAGATCTATGAGCATGTCAGTTAGGAGGGATATAATTGCACACGATGAAGTGAAAATGCAAAGATACAGCTAAGCTGATTGAGTTAGTAACAGCAAAATGATTATTAAACTAAACATATGGGGGGAAACATTCGTGTTAGATCCAACATCCCTGCTCTGTATTGCTGGAACCAATGGTAGCTGGCTACTATAAAGGTTGACAAGTGTTGATTTGTCATGAATGATTAACCTTCTTAAAACCAACCTAAACTTTGACATCTTGATGAATTATGCTCACATTTCCATTTAATTACAATTTAAAACAGTTATGTCCCTTTTGATTTATCTGCAAACTTGACTATAATAGGATAAACATACGAATACTACAAACGAGAAAAGTTCAACCGAACTGTTTTTTTTGGAGTGCTTTTTTTCTCACTCAAGGTATATGCTTCCTTTCCTATGTTATTTTTATGTTTACTGAACATCTGTGTACCAATGGTGTTACCTTTCTTTCAGGAGGTTGCCGATAACAATTGCGTCTATAGAAATGAAATAACTCATGATGTCGGTGAACGCACTCAGGTCCTACAAGATGTAGCAGCAGATCCTACTCTTCCTCGTACAAAGACAGTACGATGTGCTGTATGCAATCATCCTGAAGCTGTGTTTTTTCAGGTATGTCTGATTTCATTTACCTAATGATATTATTTTACTATTGGATCATCTGGAATTGCTTGTCTTGTATATTGTGAGTCTGGGACTCTGGATAATCATGGCTTTACCAGAAAAAATGAAAGAGGTTGAATTTGCAGCAAAATGAAAATTGTGACTCTTCAGCTCTCTGGCTTTACATTTAGTTGCCAAACTACTACACCCAACTGAGTACTTTTCTCCAGAAATTGGGAAATCCAATAGTTCTAAGATGATTCTGGTGTCTGAAATAGAGATTTATTAAATAGAAGGAAAAAAATCATAAAATTTAGATTGCATGTTATGTTTTTTCAGTTTTAAAGACTTTTCCATTGTTATCTTCTTACAGGTAACCTGTTTTTGGTCCTTTGGATCATTATCCTCATCAGAAATTCTTTATTTTGGCTAGTTGTCTGAGGTCAAGGAAATCAACAATATTCATCTGGTTATCTCATTGAAATTCTAATTTTCTCTAAATGTCGTATTGCTTAGGGGACGCTTCAAAGTATGGTATAGATAGAGGGAGTATGCACCTTATAGTTCTTTCAATTTTCTCATTGGAACACTATTTTCTCTTAATATCATATTGCTTAGGGCATTCTTTAAAGCATAGTATAGCTAGAGGAAGTGTTTAGCTTAGCATTGTTTAGAGCCTTCTTGGTTTCTGAAAGGGACTACGACAGATAAGTCCCTCCTTTTGGTCTAAGCACAATACTACCCTAATTTTTATTACAAGCACAAAATAGTACTCAAGAAGAGACAAAGTGAACACAACACCTTTTATAATAATGAATAAAATGCAAAAGCACGCCTAACAAAATTGAAATGCACCATTCGTATATGCCATAGCTAAGTACGGTCGTGATAATACTTTGTAAATGTCATAATTAACTATGGCCGTGATTGGAAAATAGAAAATAATATGTAAAAATTTACACACTCTTTGGTGCAGAAGGGAGTGTACAGTTTGTTATTAGATTAATTAATTCAGTGAAAAATATTATTGTTGTTGAAACTCCAATGAGGACGAGAGTCAATTTATATGAAAGCTTGACAAACAAGGAAAGATGTAATTATCCGTGTTAAAATGGAGGTGTAATTGTCATATCTGAAGTTTTTTGGCACGCGAAAACATAGTAAATTAGAGAACATTGGTTAAAAAATTTACATTTTAATGATTTAATAGAGATTTTTTTGTGTTTTTATTTAAAATGGAGTGTGTTTTCTAATCAAAAGGGGAACTGTCTCATATTTGCTTTCTGAAATCCCATAGGCAATTCATTTGCAGTTCTAAAAATTGATGTCCTCTACTTTTAATAACAACAACAGTGACATGAAAGATTCCACAAATAAATACTAGAGAGAGAACATCAAGAGTTTCCCACTAAAAAATAATTGATGTCTTCTACTTTTAATTGACATATGTTGTATTAAATGTAATGTTTGCAAAGCGTTCATTTATAGACAATTTTGAATTATCGAAGGATGTCTTGTTTAGGTATGATAAAAACAACATGTAGACACGCTAGACATTTAGTCACTCGAGATTTCCTTAAAAACCTACAAGATCCAATTACGGAGGAGAAAAAGCGTCTCTTTTGGCTTATTATGTAGAAGTGAAATGTCATGATATGCTAAAAAACTGCGTCTACATTATAGTTGACCAGCCAAAATATTTTAAGCAGTTCGGTAATGCTGTTTTCCTTGAATACTGATTATTTAAAAACTAAGCTGACAATTTCTTTTGTGGTTTGTAGGCTACTGCTAGGGGAGAAGAAGGTATGGCACTATTCTTCGTGTGCTGCAATCCGAGCTGTGGTCATCGATGGAGAGATTAAAGGCCATCTCTGTCTGGCACTTTTGTTTTGAAGCTGACTGTTTAGGTCTCTGTGATCTTTCAATAGAAGCAGACTGTTTAAATGCTAATTAGCTCTCTTTGTAATAGCTAAACACAATTCAAGCTTTATATTAGGCCATTGTGCACTTCCAGCTTTAGGCTCCTTTGAAAATTTGTTTAACTGTTGAATTTTGCGTACAATCGTGGGCAAAGTTATGCAAGGTTTCGTAAACACCTTGGATTGTTCTCTCTTCATGGCCAAGTTCTGAAAGTAGTATTCCTCCTCGTCTTGGTGCAAAGCTTCGACTTCCTTCAATGGCTCCCCTCTGTCCCCAACAAATCGAAGAACGAGTTCCTCAATCTTTCGTGTTTTTACAGATCCATGCGGTCCGTCGTGGATGTTAGGGTCTATTTAGTCCCACGTTGTTTATATGGATGACTTGATATAGCTTTTATAAGGGATTGCAGTGCTTGATTGGGACTAGACTAGCGCAAAGCCACAACGCCGATCAACGCCAATTTCAAATCTTATATGTTCTCAATTTGGGTCTTTGGGCATTACTCTGTCAAATCTGTAGAGTAGTTCCTGAGGACTGGGGCGACGAGGATTGTGGTGTTGATTTTCTTTGCCGCGTACTTCTCCCAAGTCTTAGAAGTTTGAAGCAGGGTTTGGGAGGAGTTATTTAGTAAGCATATATATCTGTTCCTCTATACAAATAGGAGAACCCAATATCCACTAGTTCTCCTTTCTTTGAGCCTCTACAACAATTTCTCTTTGCTGACGACGACGCTTCTTAGGGTCGCCATGGGAGAGACGTGCATGGATGCTTGCTCGTAGTTGGAGATAATTAAGAAGATGAGGAAGAAGAAGATTTACGCTTCGAGTGGTTGCCATGCATCTTGTGTAGAAATTAATGATCATGATCCGACCCTTTAATTAATATATAGGCCCCAGTATTCATAATCAAATTATGCATCTGGACGTCAGCGTGTTTTACCGAATTATAAATGATTTACGTACCCAGATACAATATTATGAAATATTGCATTTAGAAACCTACCATTTAAGTAAATTACGGTGCACCGTATGAAATCTGATTACACGAATGGAAAATGTATGGTAAGAGACCGTTTAAGGGTACCTCGGTGTATGTAATATCGGCCGTGCGCATGATTATTTGCAAATAGTTTCAAATCTTGGCATATAAACACATTTTGATTATGTTTACTAGCACAGTGCAAGCGGACGTATTTGTTTTATGTCGTGAGCACGTGAGAGTGGGGACCACATGCATTGATGAAACCGCGTGGAAGGGAAGTTCACGTGAACAAATTTGTGTGGAAAGAAATTGTTTAGTGGACAATAGCAAGGCCCACCCGATTGACCATTCATGCCTATTAATACCCTATGGTTGCCTAGGGTTTTCGGTGGCAAGCAGCAAGGAGCTTTGATTTTCTTTTTGCTGGCGGCTACAAAAGTGCAGCGAAGGTGAAAGTGTGCGAAGGCTGGGGAAAAGCGGCGTGCAAACAAAACCTAGGGCGGCGTGCTGCAGCAGTGCGAGAAGAAAAGGCAGAAGGGAGAAAAGGAACTGCAGGAGGCTCGTTTAGGGCTTCGTTGGTGATAAAGGTGGGATCTTTTGGTAAAGACTCTATCTTTTTAGTTTTGGATCTATTCTTCGTTCGTTGGTGCGTATGATGTCGGGGAAAGAAGGTGCTTCGGGTGTCGAGGGTGGTGCTTCTGGCGCGAAGACCATTCAAAGTCTGAATATCCACTCTATGAAGATAGATGTGGAGAAATTTAATGGCACAAACAACTTTGGATTATGGAGATGCGAGGTTTTGGATGCGCTGAACGCGCAGAATTTGGAGGATACCTTGGAGTTAGATGGCAAGCCAGATGAGATTGAAGAGAAGGTTTGGAAGAAGATGAATCGAACGGCGTGTGGTGTGATTAGATCTTGTTTGACTCAAGATCTAAAATATGATGTGATGAATGAGACTTCTGCGAAGAAGATTTGGGAGATTCTCGAAAGCAAGTATTTGACCAAGAGTGTGGAAAATCGCTTGCATTTGAAGAGGAGACTTTATCGTTTCCAGTTGAAGAAGGGAACCTCCATTAGAGATCACATGAACCACTACACAAAGCTTCTTGCGGATTTGGCGAATGTGGATGTCAAGATTGAAGATGAGGACAAGGCGTTGTTGCTATTGAGTTCCTTGCCCGACGAGGAATATGAGACCTTCGTCCTTACTCTTATTAATGGGAAGGCATCACTTTCGTATAGTGAGGTCACTGCTGCACTTGTGAATTATCAGCTTCGAAAGAAGGATAATGAGACTTTAGTTGAGCCGGTAGCAGAGGCGTTGGTCGCAAGAGGGAAGAATCCAAACCGGAAGAATTGGAAGTCACAGTCTAGAGTAGGGCATCCTACAATTGGAAAAGATCAGTGTGCTTGGTGCAAGGAGACTGGTCATTGGAAGAAAGACTGCCCAAAGCTCGACGAATGGATGAAGAATAAGCAGAAGGGAAAAGGGAAGCAACCATCATCAGAAGCAAACATCGTATCGGATGGTAATAATTCTGACTCTTCTATTTATTCGCTTTCTATCAGTCCTACAGATAGCTATTCGGAGGAATCTGAATGGATGTTGGATAGTGGTGCGACCTATCATGTGTGCCCTAGAAGGGAATGGTTCTCCAGTTTTGAGAAGCTGGTGGATAGTGGTGTGGTGTACATGGCTGATAACCGTGCATGCCAGATCCTTGGGATAGGAAGAATTCGCATAAAGATGTTTGACGGGACTGTTAGAGAGTTAAACGATGTGAGATATGTTCCTTCTTTGAGGAAGAACTTGATCTCGATTGGAGCTTTGGTTGGAGAGGGTCTGAAGGTTCGTGTTGAGGACATGGTTCTCGAGATTGCGAGAGACTCTCGTATTTTGATGAAGGGCGTCAGGAGAAATAACCTGTATTACTTGACTGGAGGTATAGTGGCAGGTGGAGAGCTGACGACTTCTGTTGATTCGACTAGACTGCGGCATTTGGGGCTTGGCCATTCCAGTATTGATTCCTCGCATAGATTGAAAGAGGGTGCAAAGACCTGCAGTTTGAAGTCCAGTGAACATGTTGATGTGAGCAAGAAGACCGAGGTGAAGTGTGGCACCTCTATTCACCGTGCTAAGGGTCGTTCTGGAGGAGTTCACGTGGATGTTTGGGGGCCTTCCAAGGGGGCATCATTGGGAGGTAATAGGCGTTTGGTTTCCTTTGTTGGTGGCTGTTCTAGGCGTGTTTGGGTTGCAACCAAATCCCCTTTGGAGAAAGTCCTAGTAGTTTCCAACAGATTGAAGAAGTGTGTGACAGACAGAAAGGTGAAGGTACTCCATTCTGGTGGGAGGTACAAGATGGACCTATTTCTGTATTAGAGCCGAGCTCACGGTATTTCGAGACACTTCGTTGGCCGAGGTGAAGTGTGGCACCTCTATTCACCGTGCTAAGGGTCGTTCTGGAGGAGTTCACGTGGATGTTTGGGGGCCTTCCAAGGGGGCATCATTGGGAGGTAATAGGCGTTTGGTTTCCTTTGTTGGTGGCTGTTCTAGGCGTGTTTGGGTTGCAACCAAATCCCCTATGGATAAAGTCCTAGTAGTCTCTAACAGATTGAAGAAGTGTGATATTGGCAGAAAGGTGAAGGTACTTCACTCTAGTTTGGGTGGGAGATAAAAGATGGACCTGTTTCTGTATTGGAGCCGAGATCATGGCATTTCGAGACACTTCGTTGGAAAGGAAATCTTGGGGCAACTAGATAAGGTGACAAATTTGGAGAACCGTGCCTTTCTGGAGGAGGATCGGTGTTTGTGGTCGAGCAATGGTTTGCAGAAGAGTTTCTGGACAGAGGCTTCGACATATTTGGGTCATCCTATTAAAGAGTTGTCAACTGCTATGATTGGAGGTAAAACTTCATTAGAAGATAGGTCTGGTAGTGTCACTTTGGTTGAGGCTTCGATGAGGAAGCCAATTGACTCTCAGCAGGTGGAGAGTTTTGGACAGACCTTAGAGGTATCGCAGCAGGTGGAGATTAATGCTACTCCACATTGGGTGAAGATTACTCCAGATCATTGAGGGAGCTAATTGACTCTCAGCAGGTGGAGAGTTTTGGACAGACCTTAGAGGTATCGCAGCGGGTGGAGAGTGATGCTACTCTAGGGATTTTCCCACATACTCCAGGTCATTCTGCATTGGTTGGGATTCCAGCTGACGTGACACAGCGTGGAAGTCATTTGGATTCAGATGCAGATGATGAGTTGGGTTTTGATTCGAGTGCAGCTGATAGATGCAGTTTGGATATGACCATTGGTTCACATCAGGTGGAGGTGTTTGAGGCCATTGGAGGTGCTATCAGTCGCAGAGTTAATGATATTGGAGAAGGGGTGCGAACTCTTCTATTGGATTGAGGTCGTTAGCGGCCATTTGGGTGAACTACGTTCGGCTTGATTCCTTGGGCAAGAGGATACGTAGGCAGTCTTATGATGCAGCCGGGTTGGATTTTGATGGGGGTGAGATCGATTTGGTGAGTAGACATCGACGTTTGGGAGAGTGTTCGCATTCTCATTTGGGGTCTCGACTTATTATGGATTGAGTCCGTTATCGTGAATTGTTTCACTTTGTACTGGACACAACAAGTGAGGCATTTGTTTTGGTTGGTGTCGGCTCAGTTTTGGAAAACTTCACCGAGGTGGAGAATTGTGAGCACGTGAGAGTGGGGACCACATGCATTGATGAAACCGCGTGGAAGGGAAGTTCACGTGAACAAATTTGTGTGGAAAGAAATTGTTTAGTGGACAATAGCAAGGCCCACCCGATTGACCATTCATGCCTATTAATACCCTATGGTTGCCTAGGGTTTTCGGTGGCAAGCAGCAAGGAGCTTTGATTTTCTTTTTGCTGGCGGCTACAAAAGTGCAGCGAAGGTGAAAGTGTGCGAAGGCTGGGGAAAAGCGGCGTGCAAACAAAACCTAGGGCGGCGTGCTGCAGCAGTGCGAGAAGAAAAGGCAGAAGGGAGAAAAGGAACTGCAGGCGGCTGTTTGGTGTTCGTGCACGGAGCCAGTGCAGTCTGTTTTTCTTTCTTGGGCAGCGTGCAGAGCCGATTTGAGAGAGGTTTTTTTTTGTTGTGCATCCCCTTTGAGAGATTAGAGAGTTATTTGAGGGTTTAAATTGTGAGAGTTGTAAACCCATTGTATTCTTTTTCTCTTTA